ACAGAAGGAATATTTGAACTAGGTAAATAGATTTGTGGTGTCAGATATAACTGAGGTTTTATCAATAACCTGACGATAGGGAAAAACGCTGACACCAACGCTAACAGCTCGGACTAAAATATCAATTTTTATAGATACAAATATTTCCATGAAAGCTCTGCTGATATGGTAATCCAATACTCCTGATATCTCTTTATCTATCAGAGAAATATATCACGAAATCAGCGTTTCTTTAAAAAAGGTTTTCCATTATCATATATCAAGTATAAGTTTACTATGAAGAGAATCCACCCATACATATTACTTATATTAATTTCGATTGAAATATATATCTTGAAATAAATATAAAAATATATTAATTTCTTGTTGTTTTTTATAGAGAATTATTGAGCATTTTCTTTTTGATACATGAAAATAATTATGATATTGCTTGCAGTCGGAATAATATAAACAGTTTAGATCAGAATTAACTTTAATTGAGCGTATGAATTATAAAATACTACCTGGTTAACGTACCTGTACTACCTGTTTAAGGCGAGTATAAAAGAATAAAATAAAAGATTAAATACGCCTTTATCTAATTACAAAAAGTTTGAGCTGGCCAACGTGAAAACAACAAAGGGTTTATAAAGAGAAAGCCGCGACATCTAGCGTTCGCCTTTACAGAGTAGTGTCTGTTCTAGAAAATGTAATTTTAAAATAAAATGACATTTTTATATAACACATATATATATATAACTATCAAAATATAGATTCAAATTATATATTGGGTTATTTGACATATTTAGAATCCTATAATACAAGCTGTGTTCTTTCGGTAAATAATATAAAAATAAATTTATAAGAATTGGTTTTAAAAAATGATGTTTTATTTTTCAACATAGACCCCATTCAGCTCTACACACCTGGTCCAGCGAGGGTCTGGGTTTTATTACCTCAAAAAGTATGATGTTTCAAGTTTGCAAAACGAAAATTGCAATTATACCGCGAATGTTTCTTTTAAACAAAAATCGAAATTTATTTTTAAAGAGAAATAACGACTATTTCTAACTTTAAGGATGAAGTATGAAAGGGTGAAAAATATGAAGAGTAATGGCGAACGGGAAAATAAAAGTGTCCAGTTTGCGCTGTAGCGATTGATTCAAAAATGAAATTCGAACCGTTATCAAACATTTCTTTTTTTAACGTTGGTCGGTTTACCAAATTGAAGCCCGAGCTAAATGAAGTTCATGGAGACTCAGCCTTATCATTTGTTGGCTTCCGTGGGCGTCTCTTACTGGGAAAAAGAAAGAGAGGATTCCAATTAATTATAAACTAAAACATGCATTTATTTAAGGAGCGACCCGCTCCAACACAATAGTTACAAAACAACAAGTGAGTGGGGGGCAAAGACAAAAAAAACAAAAAAGACGCGTCGTAGTGGCGTGACGTCGGCGTCGGTGTATCCCCTTTTTTTTCTGGGGAGCTCGGCTTCCATACTCTGTTTATTATATTCCGTTTGTCTGAGGCTCTCTGGTCGGGATGGCGCCTACATTCGGCCATTCCTGGATTCAATCTTGAACTTTGCGTTGCTGGAACGTCGTGGGTTGCGTCGGAGGGTGTCTTCTTCTTCTGACTCCTCGTCCAGACTTTCTTCTGTAGCTGAATCATCTTCTTCACTGTGCCAAGACTACAGTTGACTGATATGGGCCGTTGTCGTGTAGAACCGTCCACCGGTTCTTTCGCTTAACTGAGTCACTCTGTACGTGTCGCTTGGCAGAACCTCGGTGATTATCAAAGGTCCTCGATACTTGGGTTGCGCCTTGGTTGGTTCACCAGTCATTTTGGGTACATGCCTCATCACTACAATTTCTCCTACTTCGAATTGGAGTGTACGGCATTTCTTCTTATCGTAATACGTCTTCATGATTTCTTGTTTATTCTCAATTTGGGGTCTCACACTCTCTTGAATTCTCTCCGGCTCAGTCCACGGGTCCATATCTTCGTCGGCTAATCTTCTAAGTATCCCGTCGTGGAATCGAGGGGAATAGCCGTGGAGTGTTTCGAACGGTGTTTTATTCGTCGTCTTGTTCATCGCATTATTCAGGTGTCGCTGTACCTCCTTGATCTTCAGGTCCCAATCCTTCCGTCGCGGATCCTCGATACCGGTTGCTATAGTGGACAATACTGTTCGGTTCACTCTTTCGACCATCCCGTTCCCTTGCGGATGTTTCGTAGAGTTCAGTGTATGATGTATTCCATTTCCTCGACAGAATTCTTCAAATTGCCTTGAGGTAAAACATGACCCTCTTTCGCTGATGATCTTGTCGGGTAGTCCGAAATCATTCACAAAACTTTTCATTACCTTCAGGACGTTCTGCGTCGATTTATTCCTTACAGGGCTTAATCTGACAAATCTTCTCAGATTATCGACAATCACTAAAGGTTCCTGGTTACCTCTTGTACTTCTCACGAAAGGGCCTACGTGGTCCATATGTACGATGGAAAACGGTCTCTTGGCTGGCTTAATGGGGTGTAAGAAGCCTTGTTGTTTTCCACCGGGAACTTTGTTAAATAAACACTCGACACACCTAGCAACATGGCGTCGAACGTACCTCTTCATTGAAGGAAACCAGTACAATTCCTCAATTTTGTTGACAGTCCTATCAACCGCAAAATGTCCCATTAGATCAGGCAATTTAACAACTAAACTTTTCCTCATACTTTTGGGTATAACATACAGGGCTCGTTCCTCTTCTCCATTTTTCACCACGCGAAAAAGTCTGCCTCCTTTGTAGCTGTAGTCATTAATTCTATTTTGTTCTCTTACTGTTCTATCACACGGGTCCTTTCGAAAGATCTGGATCAGGTCTCTCAATTCAGGGTCGGAATGCTGAATCATCATGATTTGTTCTTCCAGTCTGATTGTGAAGCATACTTCGAGGTTTTTCTCCACCATTTCCTCCATCGTGTCTCTAGGGTCGTCGACTGGAGCTCTGCTCATTCCGTCTACGTGGGCCATCTTCTCTCCTGGTTTATGCCGAATGTCGAAATCGTATTCCTGAATCAGATTGTACTATCGCGCTATCTGAGGATTTGTAGTCGTCTTCGCGTTCATGTAGACCAGTGCTTGGCAATCTGTAACCACTGTAAACTTGATTCCTACGAGGAACTGACGTAGTCGATCCAAGGTCCACACTATCGCCATCAGCTCCAATTTGCTTGAATGGTACATCTTCTCAGCCTCTGTTGTCTTCTTGCTCACACAGTGGACCAAGCGCCATTTGCAGTCTTCGTCCCCCTGTAGCAACATTCCTGCTAGTAAAACGAAAATTGAAATTATACCGCGAATGTTTCTTTTATAAAAATCGAAATTTATTTTCAAAAAGAAATAGCGACATTTCTAACTTTGAGGATGAGGTATGGAAAGGTGAAACATGAAGAGTAATGGCGAACGGAAAAATAAAAAGTGTCCAGGGGCGGGAATCGAACCCACACCCTTCTGCTTACCGGGCAGGTGCCTTGTCCACTCGGCTACCCTGAACGTATTTTTCCGTTCGTAACTAATACTTAAAGTAACATTTAAAATACAATATAACGCGGCTGATGATTGTAAAACGAAAATTGAAATTATACCGCGAATGTTTCTTTTATAAAAATCGAAATTTATTTTCAAAGAGAAATAGCGACATTTCTAACTTTGAGGATGAGGTATGGAAAGGTGAAACATGAAGAGTAATGGCGAACGGAAAAATAAAAAGTGTCCAGGGGCGGGAATCGAACCCACACCCTTCTGCTTACCGGGCAGGTGCCTTGTCCACTCGGCTACCCTGGACGTATTTTTCCGTTCGTAACTAATACTTAAAGTAACATTTAAAATACAATATAACGCGGCTGATGATTGTAAAACGAAAATTGAAATTATACCGCGAATGTTTCTTTTATAAAAATCGAAATTTATTTTCAAAGAGAAATAGCGACATTTCTAACTTTGAGGATGAGGTATGGAAAGGTGAAACATGAAGAGTAATGGCGAACGGAAAATAAAAAGTGTCCAGGGGCGGGAATCGAACCCACACCCTTCTGCTTACCGGGCAGGTGCCTTGTCCACTCGGCTACCCTGGACGTATTTTTCCGTTTGTAACTAATACTTAAAGTAACATTTAAAATACAATATAACGCGGCTGATGATTGTAAAACGAAAATTGAAATTATACCGCGAATGTTTCTTTTATAAAAATCGAAATTTATTTTCAAAGAGAAATAGCGACATTTCTAACTTTGAGGATGAGGTATGGAAAGGTTAAACATGAAGTGTAATGGCGAACGGAAAAATAAAAAGTGTCCAGGGGCGGGAATCGAACCCACACCCTTCTGCTTACCGGGCAGGTGCCTTGTCCACTCGGCTACCCTGGACGTATTTTTCCGTTCGTAACTAATACTTAAAGTAACATTTAAAATACAATATAACGCGGCTGATGATTGTAAAACGAAAATTGAAATTATACCGCGAATGTTTCTTTTATAAAAATCGAAATTTATTTTCAAAGAGAAATAGCGACATTTCTAACTTTGAGGATGAGGTATGGAAAGGTGAAACATGAAGAGTAATGGCGAACGGAAAAATAAAAAGTGTCCAGGGGCCGAAATCGAACCCACACCCTTCTGCTTACCGGGCAGGTGCCTTGTCCACTGTTACTTTAAGTATTAGTTACGAACGGAAAAATACGTCCAGGGTAGCCGAGTGGACAAGGCACCTGCCCGGTAAGCAGAAGGGTGTGGATTCGATTCCCGCCCCTGGTAACTTTTTATTTTTCCGTTCGCCATTACTCTTCATGTTTCACCTTTCCATACCTCATCCTTAAAGTTAGAAATGTCGCTATTTCTCTTTGAAAATAAATTTCGATATTTATAAAAGAAACATTCGCGGTATAATTACAATTTTCGTTTTACAATCATCAGCCGCGTTATATTGTATTTTAAATGTTACTTTAAGTATTAGTTACGAACGGAAAAATACGTCCAGGGTAGCCGAGTGGGACAAGGCACCTGCCCGGTAAGCAGAAGGGTGTGGGTTCGATTCCCGCCCCTGGACACTTTTTATTTTTCCGTTCGCCATTACTCTTCATGTTTCACCTTTCCATACCTCATCCTCAAAGTTAGAAATGTCGCTATTTCTCTTTGAAAATAAATTTCGATTTTTTATAAAAGAAAAATTCGCGGTATAATTTCAATTTTCGTTTTACAATCATCAGCCGCGTTATATTGTATTTTAAATGTTACTTTAAGTATTAGTTACGAACGGAAAAATACGTCCAGGGTAGCCGAGTGGACAAGGCACCTGCCCGGTAAGCAGAAGGGTGTGGGTTCGATTCCCGCCCCTGGACACTTTTTATTTTTCCGTTCGCCATTACTCTTCATGTTTCACCTTTCCATATCTCATCCTCAAAGTTAGAAATGTCGCTATTTCTCTTTGAAAATAAATTTCGATATTTATAAAAGAAACATTCGCGGTATAATTTCAATTTTCGTTTTACAATCATCAGCCGCGTTATATTGTATTTTAAATGTTACTTTAAGTATTAGTTACGAACGGAAAAATACGTCCAGGGTAGCCGAGTGGACAAGGCACCTGCCCGGTAAGCAGAAGGGTGTGGGTTCGATTCCCGCCCCTGGACACTTTTTATTTTTCCGTTCGCCATTACTCTTCATGTTTCACCTTTCCATACCTCATCCTCAAAGTTAGAAATGTCGCTATTTCTCTTTGAAAATAAATTTAGATTTTTATAAAAGAAACATTCGCGGTATAATTTCAATTTTCGTTTTACAATCATCAGCCGCGTTATATTGTATTCCTGCTAGTCCCTCAGCACTCGCATCGCAATGTACTTCTGTCTTAAGTTCAGGGTTGTAATGAGCTAGTACCGGATATTCGACCAGATCATTTCGAAGTCCTCCAAATGACCTTCGCTGTTCTTTCTTCCATTCAAATTGTGTACCTTTCTTTGTAAGTCTGCTTAGCGGTTCTGCTTTCCTCGCGAAGTCCTTTACAAATCGTCTGAAGAAGTTCGCCAGTCCCAGAAAGCGTCGTATGGTGTGGACATTCTTGGGTTCTGGAAATTCTTCTATCGCCTTGATATTTCTTGGGCCTGGCTTAAGTCCGCCTGTACTGATGACATACCCAAGGAACTCAACTTCCCTCCTTCCGAACTCACATTTAGAGGGTTTCAGCGTCAACTTCGCTGATCTTATTCTTTCAAGTACTTCCCTCAACCTTTCGATCATCTCCCGCCAATCCTTTGCCGGGATAATCACGTCGCCGAGATAGCAGAATGCCTTCTTGTTCAGCAGCGGACCTAGAACAGTGTGCATCAGTCTTTGGAATTCTGCTGGTGCGTTGGCGAGTCCAAAAATCATCCTTTCGAATTGACCTGTATCATCTGGGGTGATGAATGCTGTCTTTAGTTTTGCCTTATCAGTCAGTGGTATCTGCAGATATCCATGCGCCAGATCCAGAGTGGTGAAGAATTTCGCATTCCGTAGGCTTTCCAGAAGGTCGTCTATCCTCGGTAAAGGGAACTTGTCCTTAACTGTTTGAATGTTGAGTCTCCTATAATCCACCACCAAATGATGATCTCCAGTTTTCTTTCTCACAAGTAGGACGGGACTAGCGTAGGGTGATCTAGTTTCCGTGACTATTCCATTGTCCTTCCACTCTCTGACAATCTCCCTGATTGCTTCGCGTTCACTTGCAGTCGTCTTGTACGGTCTCAGACAGACTGGCTTGCTTCCATCAACCTCCTTAATGTCCATCTTGGTGACATCGGTTCACCCTAATTCACCCATACCAAGAGCGAAACAGTCTCTATATTCATTCACTACGTCGAGGATTTCTTGTCTCTCTTTCGGAGTCAGAGAATGATTGATGTTGACGTCCTCAGGCAGTATGGGGCGCTTTCGTTTCATCTGGTCCTGTCCTTCCCTCTTCACTTTTAGTCTGAAACGAATCCTCTGAAACGTCCAGGTTAACAACAATGTAATCAGGGCTCAGCAGTTCAACTCGACCTATGCATTGGTTTTTCTTTACTCTCAAATTGCCCTTGCCAATTGAGATGATGGGTACGGTCGTCTTTCCATCGACCACTTCCAATAGAGAATTGACACAGTCGTCTACTCCTGTGAACAATACGTATCCGTCCCTTACCTTGTCTGTAATTGCACTTGCAAAGTTAATGCAGTCGCTCCCCAACTGAACAGTCTCGGTTGCTCTCAGTTCAACGCGACGCGACTTTATTTCTTCTTGCAGATTAGCAAACGGAAATTCGGTTGAATAGCCAATATGCAGTTCCTTATCGATTCTGGAGAAGGATACGTAGGGCAGATTCGTCCATGTTCTTCCAATTAGTAGGTCATAAGGTTGGGCATCATCGTTAACAATGAATACAGCGATTTATTTTCCGACGACGCCATCAATCTCCAGGTCAACTGTCGTCTTCCCAACGGTCCTGGCAGCTGGTGCGGTCTGGTTACCGATGCCGTACAGACTAGTCGAATCTGGTTCGATGTCGACGTTGATCCTTCTTGCGCCCGATTCTCTTAATAGGAAACTGATGCTCCCGGTGTCTATCATTGCTTTCACGGTCTCCTTGTTGTCGATCTTGACGTCCTTCAAATATACATCTGGCGGGACAGTCTTCAGTCCTTCGACTTCCAGGTTGGCTACTTTTAGTCCTTCTTCGGGTCTTGTGCAATTTCTTTCCTTGTGCCCCGTTTGACCGCATCCTCGGCATGTCAACGTAGCCTTGGGTACTGGGCAGTTTCTGGCAATGTGTCCAAACTGATTGCACTTGAAGCACTTCGGTTCTCCCTTGTCGTTTCTGATTGCACGGTTGACCATTCTCCTCGGGGTTTTAGGATACTTTTCACTGATTTCGTTCCTTGCAGCCTCTCTACTCGAAACATTCGTTCCTTGTTCAGTCTCTTTAACTTCGCTCCGGTTGGGAAATCTCGCAGATCTCTGCTGAAACGACGGTGGTATGGTGTGTTTCGAAATCCAATGCGGAAGTCCATCTCGGCGCGAACATTTTCGTACTCGTCCAGTTTATCCGCCAACACATCTGGGTTGTTTATCTTGGTCCAATCGTCAATGAGATGATTACGCAGCACATTTGGGACCTTTTTCTTTAGCTGGTTAGTGACGGACAAATCCTTTAGAGCGTCGAAATTTTCCACGTTCATTTCTTCGATCCATTCGTTGAAAAACCCTCGCAATTCGAAAGCGAAGTCTCTCCAGGAACCCTTTTGAGATTTATCGTGCTTCTCGAATTTTGTCTGAACTGTTCGGGGCTCAACTTGTACCGTTTTAGGAGCAACCTTTTCACGAATCTATAATCGCCGCTTTGCCCTTCTGTCTCCCGAGCGATTAATTGCGTCATTTCGTAAGGTAGTAATCCTAGAAGACTGAATGCCCATTGGTCTTCATCCAACCCTAGTCGCTTTGCCTGTCGTTCGAAAAGGATTAGATAGAAACTCAAATCACTGTCCTTCGATTCGTACTTGGTTTACATATCTCGTAATGTGCGTTATTACTGGTACCGCGAGACGGATCGTTGTTTCCATGCATAGTCTGGATGCGCAGCTTCTCAAGCTCGAATTCCATTACCATTTGTTCTTTTCGTTCCCGTTCTTATCGTTCTGCTTGCTCTGTTTGTGCTGTTTGTTCCATTCGCTCCCGTTCTGCTCGTTCTGTTTGTTCCCGTTCCTCGATCAGAGTCTCCAATAGTTGCTTTGCGAATTCTTCTTCGTAAGATTGACTATTCAGGATAAGGCGTTTTAAGTCGACGATCTTGCTCTCTCGCGGTACTACCTCGCCGAGTTCATACGCCAACTTGCTCAAATCACATTTCTTTACTCTGGCTAAATAAGTCATATTTTTAAAAAAAGAGAGAGATAGAGTATAAACAAAACAAAAAATAATAAAATAAAACTAACTAAACCTGATACGTACTGTTTTAATTATTTATCTAAACGGAATCAACTTTTCTTTAGTAATTTTGGGACAACACTTATACCGCGATACTTTGCGATGATACTTCTATTTGTTTCTTCAAGTTAGGTTATCAGTGTATTTACCGCTACTTTTTTTTTCAAATAAATGGTAATACTTTAAAATACTTTCAAATAAATGGTAGTAAGGTTACGTACATACCATTCGTGCTGCAGCTTCTTCTTTAGGTTAATCCAACATGGCGTCGCGCATCCTTTGTTGCTACTTAATCACTCCAGCAATTCTTCTTCTTCAGGGTTATCCCACTTCTGAAATTATGTTGGCTTCCGTAGGCGTCTCTTACTGGGAAAAAGAAAGAGAGGATTCCATTTAATTATAAGCTAAAAAATGCATTTATTCAAGGAGCGACCCGCTCCAACACAATAGTTACAAAACAACAAGCGATCGGGGGGGGTAAAGACAAAAAAACAAACAAAAAAGACGCGTCGTAGTGGCGTGACCTCGGCGTCGGTGTATCCCCTTTTTTTTCTGGGGAGCTCAGCTTCCATACTCTGTTTATTATATTCCGTTTGTCTGCGGCTCTCTGGTCGGGATGGCGCCTACACATTTATGTCCATTTATTACTGAATGTAAGAATTTGAACGTGGCCGAAAATAAACACAAAATGAACCACGTCCCGGACGACCTAGGGATATAACTATGCCAGAAATTGTATCAAAAATCTATTGTATCGTTATGGAAGACCAACGAGAGAAGATACGTGAGATAGCTGAGACCACATGCATCTCATTAGACAGTTTACATTATATTCTCCATGTAAAATTACAGATGAAGTAGCTGTGTGCTAGAAGGGTGCCGCGATTGGTTAGAATCGACCAAACACATGCGGACAGACATTTCTAAGCAGTGTTTATCGTTGATCACTCTCAATCTCTTGATCGCTCTAAATCCCAGGGACTTTTGGCGTCGTTTTGTGACATTAGACGAGACCTGGATACACCGCTGCACACCAGAGTCTAAACAGCAGTCAAAACAGTGGACAGGTCCGTGTGAAAGAGCTCCAAAAAAGGCATAGACTGTTGTGCCAA